TGAAAACTCACTTCCCCGTTTCCCTCCCCGTTTTGCCTTCTTCATTCCATTTTCATTGCGCCTCCGTTTAGTCACTAGGCGTCTCGGGGGCAGCCTTTGTGACCCCCTAACATTTCTGAGAGAATTGGGCGGTGCCAGCGATGATGTGTCGCTTTCTCGTGGCTCCGCGGTAGGCAGGGACGCTGAAGCTTCCGGAACAGGGCTCGAATCGAAAACGGACGGTACTTCACCAACCCTTCGGTAGGGCGCAGGGGAAGGAGTATAAGAGGAGGAAGGGGGGAAGGCATTACCGTCTTCAGTGCTTTCCGGGAACACCTCAGAGGGATGGAGCATAGATGGGCTGCGGTCCAGTTCGGTAGATGGGGCAGGACGCGGCTCGAGCAGCTGGGGATGATCATCAGCAAGGCCACGTTGCGGTGTGCGATCGTGCGATGTGGTGGGGTTTCTGTCGTCAATTTCCAATAAACCGGAAGGACGCTGTGATGGATTCATGTCACGCAAGAAGCTCAAAGAGGGTTGGGCAGAGAGGCGAGTCGCAGATAAGCAAGAAATGAATGGGGACAGAGCGGGGTAGGACTGGGCGAAGAGGCTAGCAGCATACAAGCGAGCAGGAGAGAAGCCAGTGGCAGAGAGGCGCGTAACGGAGAAGGACGGAGCGAAGGAGGGCGTATCGGAGCTCAGCGGAGCAGAAGAGAGCGTAGCGGAGTACAGCGGAGCGAAGAAGGGCGGAGCGGAGTATAGCGGAGCAGAGCAGCGAAGGATGAGGAGTCAGGAAGCCACGCAAGAAGCGCAGTGAGCAAGTTTCGAGCAGGATCAAGCTGACGCGATGGGTCGTCTGCGTCTGGTGCGTGTAACGGCTAGAGACGTTTTGGCGCCAGAAAAGCGATTAGGTACGGGTGTTGCCTGGCTCTGAGGGGCTCCCCCCCTCAGACAAGAGCCGGGTTTGATACGACACAAACGGCTGCAGCAGGGTGTCATTATCACAAAAAGGGGGCTCGCAAATTGTGATTTGTTATTTTCAGAGGCTCCCAGTGGGTGTGACATGGTACTGTACCCTAAGGGCACCCCTACTGGTTTAGTTATATTTCGAGGTTAAATATGAGAATTTTAGCGTTTGGAGATAGCGATTCTAGGCGCAACACTACCGGTTAGAGGGAAAATTCCAACGTGTTGTGCAGTGATTGGCTCTTTCGGCAGCCGTGGTCATCCAGTACGAGGGATGGTAGTGGTGGTGCTGTACGGATATACTGTGGGGGATGTCTCCGGTTCCCATCTCCTCAAGCCCCACATGACACCATCATGCCCTGGAGGAAGGGCAGGGAGGAGAGGAGGAGGAAAGGGAGAAGGGAAGGCGTCAGGAAGAATGCAGGAGGGTGGCAGTGGCGGGTAAATTCAGCTTGGGATGGGGGTGTTGGGGGTGTTCCCTGTGCACAGGAAACAGTGTATTCTCTGTGCACAGAGAACATTGCTCGCGCCAAGTCAATAGAATTGGCGTGGGTTTTTGGTAATTTTTCCAAGTGGCGCAATTCTACTCGCATCTATATTTGCGCAAATGAGTACATCTGTCTCCATCCGGTCGGCTGCTTGGAGATAGATTTACTCAAAATGGTAAATTTTTTAGAGATACTCACTCCACTACACCCGAATACCGCAAATAGTCTGGGTGGGCTAATAGTGTGGATACACATATTAGTATGGGCTACAGTAACTTCTGTGAGGTGGTGTTCTTTATTGAAATGCTTTTACTGTAGACTACACTAATAATTACTTCACGTATATTAGTGGAGACGCGCCAAACAAACAAGAAGCGAAAACGAAACGGTCTCTCAGACACAGACGTTGGCGGGAAGCTCTTTGTATCCGAGTTTACACCTTTCTAAGCACATCAAAGGGGTAAAAAAGCTCTATAAAAGCCTCATTATCTCGATACCTCCAGACAACAATCGCAAAAAATATCACCGAAACCTACGTCCTGAACATGGACTGCTCTGCATCGCCTATTATTCGGGCTCTTAACCGAGCTACTACCAACACATCTATAGCGGCAATCGCCTGTCTCACCGCTGCAAATGCCTCACATGTCCCCATGACACCCCTCCATAACCGCCACGCCCCCTCTCTCCTCACGGCTCCCATCCCGAACTCATCCCTACCCCCTCCTGCCAACGCCACCCAATCCGCCCGGGCATCTATGAATGCTACACCCTTGGTCCCTGTACCGACCCGAGCACTACATAATGTACTACCCATGCTGAGCGTATCCGTATTGTCACATGGATGGTTGACGCCGCAAGCACAGATGGCGTGAAACATATTGCATCGCGTTCCATTCGTCGCTTCCCCATGCTGTTCAGAGGTAACGCAAAGGCGAACAGTGGGAAGGCAAGCAGGCTCTGGGCGGCGCAAGAAGAATTTTTTTCCTATTCGAGAAGTGTGGACAACCGTGGCATACCCCTTTCGATAACCCGGGTCACAAGAGTGGGATTCAAACGAGTGTATATCAAGGCTCGGACGGGAAGAGGGCGCAAACGTGCCGTTTGGGTTGAAGCTCTGCATATTGCGCTTCTGGAAGATTTTGATAGGTTGCGGAAGACAGGATTGAAATTCAGTGCTAAGTTGCTGCGTCATCTCGCATTGCATCTCGTGAAGGAGTCCAGCAATGTAGATTATCATACAAATATGATAGACGAAAAATCACAAAAATCAATTGTCGATATGATAACTGCACGTTGGGTACAGGGGTTCATGAACCGATATCATATTTTCAGCAGAGCGCAAACTGGGACACATATGGTGTCAGCAGCGAAGCAGGCACAGATTGAGCGAGATGTTGCGTTCCACCTCGGAGTCGTTGCTAGGGATTTTCACTCGGGTGCTATTGACGAGAATGATATCTGTAACGCAGATGAAACGCACTTTCTTATCAACCTCGATAACCATAGGACATTGGGGAGGTGTGGCGACGCAGAGATTAAATATTCTGATGTTGTCTCTGGCTCTGAGGGAATAACTATGATGGTAAGGATTTCAGGCGGTAGGGACGCAATTATTGAAGCTCCTTTTATGATTTTCCAAAATTCGAATAGAAGTTATCCTATACAACTGGCTCCTGACAACGTCCCCGGCGTTTCTTACCGTTCCGGGCCTAAAGGTTGGATGGATAGAACCGTCTTCCCCCAGTACCTCTCCGAGAAAAAGGTCATCCGGCCTCTTCCTCATGGCCGCAAGCGTATTTTGTTTGTAGAAAACTGCAGTGGACATGGAGCATCTACAAATTTAGCGACGGCATTGAATTCTATCAACACTGAAGTGCGATTTTTCCCACCCAATGCGACCGATTTGATTCAGCCAGCGGACTCCTTTGTTATTCAAAATTAAAGGATGCATGGAGGTCGCGTTGGGATAAGTACAAGATGGAGGTGATCATGAAAGACGGGTTTGCGCTGGGTTCAGGGGAAATTCCTAACCCAGGCAAATACTTTTATCTTCGTCTTGCTGCCGTTGCAGTTCGCGAGGTCAACGCTACGCGCGACAGAGACGGCATTCGTTTCGCACGAAAGGCGATGATACGGACTGGTCTTGCTTTAAATATCAATGGGCAGTGGGAGGAACGACAGCTTTTCCCGAAGCTGCAAGTGATTGTTAACAAACACCGAACACACTTTGAGGGAGCACCAGTTGTTGATGACCTATAAAGAGAATAACTGTCGACGAGGTATGTTGCTCGTGATTTGATTGGCCCATTCAGTAAACGAGGTAATAGTGTAGCCTGCACTATTGTAATATATTTAAATAATTAGTTTATGCTAATTGCGTTTGTCCTGCATATAGTGTCGTTGCACATATTAGCATAGGCTCCAGTAAAATCAGTGAGGGCCTGTTTTGACGTTGAACTTTGAATAGTATAGCCTAGACTATTTGCGATATTCGGATGTAGAGTTGCTCGTGACCAAATCTATCTCCAAAAATCAAAAATTTATTCATTTACTCAACCACTAGGGGTGCTCTAAGGGTACGGTATCACTGCGGTACGTAGAAGTAAAGCTACATGTTGGTCCCTTCTTTCAAGTTCCCGTTCTGGAATCCCAAGGTGGGACACATGACAGAAAACGGCGACGTGGCAACCGACAACCCTACCTTACGCGGAGAGTCGGAGAGAGAACCATACACTGTACTGTACTGTACTGTACCGAGGGTACTGGAGCCCACGTGGCGTACTATTTACTTGACCATTCTGGTGAGGCTTTCCTGGCCGCACGCTTGGCCTTGTGTAGATACAGTATATGACAAAGTGGCACATGCGTCCTCACGAACTGCGGCATAAGATATTTTGCACTGTGCAAAACACAGTCAGCTGTCTACTGGCCAGGAACTCTACAGTATTGTACTGTAGCATGCAGCATAGTTGTAGTGGGCCGCCCCTCGTCAGACCAGCCGGATCCCTGATGCTAACGTCTGCGTGAGAGTGCACAGCGCGCTTTTTCTCGGAAAAGATCTTGTGCGTTGTTGCGGCGCAACAACGAGGAAGGATGTGCTCTTTTTTTGCAACACCTCTGGAACCCAATACCTTACAGCGACCAGGTACAGACTAAGACGAGCGAGGGGGCGGCCCACATGTGCAATCAAAAATGTTTACGGGGCAGCCGCGGTGCGTCTCGCCGACCGGCGGTACCGATTTCCTCCACATGCGCTCGGCCCGATGCAGCGGCGCCAAATGGACCCGTCGTACGCACCCGGCGCTGCGATTGGTGCAGGCCCTAGCACTTGACGCTCTACCGGGCTGCGATTGGTGCAAGCCCTAGCACTTGACCCTCTACCGGACGGCCGGCGGAACCCGACTGGCTCTCCACCGCCGACTGCAGCCAATGAGCGGCGCTCTCAGGACTCAAGAATCTCGCCAACCGCCTCCTGGGCATGTTTGATATTCTGACAAATCTTGGGAGCGTGTCTCGCAGCCGCAAGCCTTCGATTCCCCTGGCAGTGGATCTCTAGTCGCGGAAATGCATCACCCAGCAAGCATGTCCCTCCCGCTCACGCCCACAGCTCATTCCTCTCCCCCGCTTGGCACTCCCCACAACAAGCCGCCATTCTTCATTTTTTCATTTTTAAACCTCCCCACGTACCACCTTCCACTTCCTCCACTGTCTCACACTGCTCCGGCCCATCAAGTACCATCCTCCGCTTGCGGTCACGAACAGCCCCGATCCCCGTCCCACGCCTTCCCTCTCTCTCTCTCCCATCCGTCCGGGCCCCCTGCCTGACCTTTCTTCTTCCCCCCGTCATGAAGGCACGCACCTCTTCGTTCCGCGATCTTGTCCATGGCACCATATCCGCCCCGGAGAGCCGCTACTCTGTCACGGGCCACACCACGCCCCAGGATGGCCCCGATTCTGCCTCCAATGAGAAGCGGAACAAGCTTCTGTCCTCCTTGATGTCCCAGTACCTCGCCCGTGACGTCCCCGCCATCCAGCGTCAAATCGTTAACCATGTCGAGTACACTCTTGCACGTACCCGCTACAACTTTGACAATTTTGGCGCGTACCAGGCTACCGCTCTTTCGGTTCGTGACCGTCTCATCGAAAGCTGGAATGATACCCAGCAGTACTTTACGGAGAGGGATGTCAAGAGGGTATACTATCTCAGTCTGGAGTTTCTCATGGGTCGCTACTTGACCAACGCCCTAATGAATATTGGTATTCATAATCAGTTTACCGACGCCTTGACTGGTATCGGCTTCAAGATGGAGGATATCGCCACCGAGGAACGTGACCCGGGTCTAGGCAACGGCGGTCTCGGTCGTCTGGCTGCTTGCTTCATGGATTCTCTGGCTACCCTCAACTACCCGGCCTGGGGCTATGGCATCCGTTACAAGTATGGTATGTTTGAGCAACGCATCCATAATGGTCACCAGATTGAGATCCCCGACTACTGGCTCACCTACGGCAACCCCTGGGAGATTGAGCGCCTGGATGTCACCTACCCAGTCCGCTTTTATGGACATGTCGAATCCACAGGCCATGGCTTCAAGCTCACTGGTGGCGAGATTGTCCGCGCCGTCGCTTACGATTCCCCCATTCCGGGTTATGACACCTACAACACCCTCAATCTCCGTCTCTGGAGCGCCCAGCCGGCCAAAGAGTTTGATCTCACTTCCTTCTCGAGAGGTGACTACTATGGCGCCGTCTCCGCGAAGGAGGCTTCTGAGAAGATTTCATCGGTCCTCTACCCGAATGATTCTACCGACGCTGGAAAGGAGTTGCGCCTGAAGCAGCAATTTTTCTTTGTCTCGGCCACCCTTCAGGATGTTCTTCGTCGCTTCAAAAAGGTCAGCCGCCCGCTCACCGAATTACACACCAAAGTTGCCATCCAGCTCAACGATACTCACCCCACCATTGGTGTCGTTGAACTCATGCGCCTTCTCATGGATGTCGAGGGTATGGGATGGACAGCGTCTTGGGAGACGGTCAAGAAGGTCTTTTCGTACACCAACCATACGGTGCTTCCGGAGGCTCTTGAGAAATGGTCTGTCTCTCTCATGGTGAAGCTTTTGCCACGCCACATGCAAATAATTTTCGAGATTAATCGTCGCCATCTTGAGGAAACTGCTCGCAAGTACCCGAACGATGGCCACAAGCTCCAGAGGATGAGTATCATCGAGGACGGTCACCCGAAGATGGTCCGCATGGCCCAGCTCGCCGTTGTCGGCTCTCACACTGTGAATGGTGTGGCTGCGATCCATTCTGGTCTCGTCTCGACTCGCTTGTTCCCGGACTTTGCCAAGGATGGATACAGGATCCTCAATATGACTAATGGTGTCACCCCGCGGCGCTGGGTGCAGCAAGCGAACCCATCTTTGTCCGCCATCATTTCTCGATGGATCGAAACTGACGAGTGGGTTGTCAATTTCGATCTTGCAAAGGGACTTGAGCAGTATGTCAACAATGCAGACTTGCAGCGGGAGTTTGCAGAGTCTAAACTGGAGAACAAGAAGCGACTCGCTGCCACCATCAAGAAGGTCTCAGGGGTTGAAGTCAACTGCAACGCGCTCTTTGACATTCAAATCAAACGTATTCACGAATACAAGCGTCAGCTCCTCAACATTATTGGTGTCATCGTCCGCTACAATAAGATCAAGAAAATGTCTCCGGAAGAGCGCAAGGGTGTCGTGCCGAAGGTTGTTGTTATTGGTGGCAAGGCCGCTGCCTCTTATGTGCAGGCTAAGCACTTCATCCGTCTGATTAATGGTGTTTCGGATGTCGTTAACAATGACAGCGAAATTGGAGATCTTCTCAAGGTGTTCTTCTTGCCGAACTATAATGTCACTCTTGCCGAGACAATCATCCCGGCCAACGATGTGTCTCAACACATCTCAACGGCCGGCATGGAAGCATCGGGCACATCGAACATGAAGTTTGTCATGAACGGTGGACTTATTGTGGGTACTATGGATGGCGCCAATATTGAGATTCGAGAGGAGGTTGGTGAGGAGAATATGTTTGTCTTTGGTCTCCACACGCCTGAAATTGACCATGCTCGTAATCAGCTCAAGTACGGTGAATACAAGGTTCGCGACGATCGTCTATCCGAGGCAATGAACCAGATTCAGAGCAACATGTACTGCGGCTCGGATAGTAGCGGCCCGATCATGAACTCGTTGCAACCATACAACGATTACTACCTTGTCACGCGTGATTTCTCTTCGTACATGGACGCGATGGACCGCATTGACGAGGCTTTCAAGGATAAAACGGCTTGGATCAAGAAAACAATTGTGTCTGTTGCTCGAATGGGCAAGTTCTCGTCTGATCGCACAATTCGTGAGTATGCGGAGCAAATCTGGGACATCGAAGCAACTCCGTTCATCCCGGGTTCTATTTCGTACAAGTCTTAAGGGGGTTGGCATATATGAGAATGGGTCTGTGTGGTCAGTTTTCCTGTTGTATCCGTTGCCTTGTTTAGTCGGCGCAATGCGGCATGCCTTTGTAGTGGCTAATTTCCGTGTCGCAGAGTAGTCTTTCGATATCACGTCATTCTGGGGGCAGCTGAACGTGGTAGTGTTAATCTTGATCGGCTTCGTCCCCAGGCACCGTACCATTGCAACAAGTTAAAATAACAAGTTCTTTGCATTCGACAGCATGCCCCCTCGCAGAATATTATCCAAGAAACGCGGTACAGGCAGGTTTGCTGAGCAAGGTACATTCTTTCCAAAATGGAGAATTTGTACCAAGGGAAACCTTGCTCCATTTACCTTCTTCCTACGGTCTTTAACAGGATTTGAGAGATCAAAAGGCTGTCGAGCACCAGCACTAGAACGCGAGACGTTCTCTTTGCTTCTAGAAGTGCTCTCTCCCCTTTCTGAAGGTATAGGCCTGCTTCCGGAACAATGAAATTAAACGCCACAGCCTGAATCTCCGGAAACATACTTAAAATCGATGTAGTTGCTGGAGACGATTCCGCACAAACATCAGCACCGTTACCCTCACAATGCTCCGCAATCTCTATCAGGTTATTCTTTTAATTTCTCTCCTCTTTAAACGCATCCATAACACGGTCCTCAACAAATGCTTCCATCCTCTCTTCATCAGTATGTAATACATACGTACTATGCATGATGTCATACTACTGTCAACAGTACGTGCCAGAAATATAACGCTTTGGCACGTGTCCACGTGCGATGTTGGCGACACCCTGAAATGGCGCGCCTTGTACCGAGGGAAGCCTAACTCATATGAGCCTTACTGACAATCCCTTCCTGACCTGTACGGTAGGAGCCGGACAATACTGTACAGAAACTACCGTACAGGATGGCCTCTGATACTGTTCTGAATGCACTTTGCATTTGTAAAGTACAAAACTCCCAAGATACGCACAGTAACCCTTTGCTAGCCTGTACCCTTCAAGGGTACTTCACACCGCAATGCTCCAGTACAGTACAGTACGCTGCTGTACAGAAAGTGGGGAAAAGCGTACCGGAGCGTACTGTACCCTTCGAAGGGTACATTCTCCAGATTGCATGATGTGTGTGGCGCAAGGAGTAAAACCGGCGTCGGAGGCCGGTCTCTGGCATTCGTGTACAGCTTGTATACGTGTGATGTGGAGGGACAATAACAATGAGATTAAAGCACCTTCGTGCGCACATTTGTCCAGTACAGCTGTTTCCCGCCGTTGTGCCGCAGTGCCCCAGCGGCTTCTTAGCCCATGAGTTCACACAACCTTTGAAATCAAGAAATCTTCGTCTTCCCGTCCCCTTTTGCAAACCACCGCCTGCAGTTCGGCGCCTTTTGTCGGTGGCGAACATAGCCTGACGCCTGAGACTCTCCATCTGCAGAAGCTCGCTCTTTCTTACGCTTGACGGCATCTCCAAGCAGGAGACCATCGCAAACCCATTCCAGTGACTTTCACAGAAGTAATCCCCACATCAACACCAACATGTCTGGCGAATCCAGCGATGACTCCATGGATATCCGCCGCGCCCCACGTTCCGCAGCTGCCACCGCCGCTGTGAATGACATCGCTAATATATCGGACGATGATTTCGAAAGCGACCAAGCCCAGCCTGTTGTGCGCGTACCTACCCCGCCTCGCTCGCCGTCACCCGATCGGAGAGATTCACGAGACAGCTCGCCGTCCAAAGAACCCATACAACACGAGCCCTCACCGCCACGTGCCGTGCCTTCGTTCTACAGAACTGCAGGCATAGATGGTGCCCGTCACGAGCCCATAGACATGCTGCACTTTCCCCCAAATATAACACTCATACCAGCCGTCACAACAAAGTTGAACAGCTTACCCCAAGAACAGAATCCTATATTATACCGCCTCCCTTCTGGTGTTCAAGGAGACCGCTCCGCACACGCTACAGTACTGCAGCTTGTCAAAGAAAACAAAAATGATCCCTTGGCACTCAGCCAGGTATTAGAATCGAATGCCCGTGTAATCACGTGGTCAGATGGATCGAAAACCTTGTCGATCGGTGCCCAGCAATTCTTGATGATCGCCGACACTGTTGCGTCAAGACATTTTATCTTACGAAAAGGAACCGACGTCCACACCTGTGAATCACGTGTCAAGAATGTCATGCGTGTTCAGCCGAGCTCCACCTCCGACGCTACAGCGAAAGTAGCTATGGCTAGAGCAGCCATGAGAGCAGCGAGTAAACGTCCAGAAGGGCGAACAATGCTCCGATGTATGGACGATACCGGTGAGCAACAAGAAGCACAGGCCAAGGTGGAAAACAATAGACGACAGCGGGAGCGTGCCAAAATAGAAGCAAAACGGAGACAAGCTCGCGAGAGGCACATGCGACCGAGACGGCCTTTGACAGTAGCCAGCTTGGAAAGAGAGTCTGACGATGACAGTGGGGAAGACCAGGCACGCAGGATGGCGGAGCGTTTGGATGCCGAGCGTTTGATGCGTGCGAAAAGGGCCCCGCCACCGAGGACAATGGATGTTTCTGCAAAACGGAGAAAAGCAGGCGGGCGCCGCGTCCTAGGCAGTGATGACGACGATAGTGATGACAGTATGTGAGAATACCATAACCAAAGAGAAGTTCAAGACTGCAGGCAGTACATTCATTTCCAACTGATGTTAACTGTTTAAATCAAAGCTAATATCGTCAGTTATGCAACACTACACTATGGAGCACCAGTGATGGCTAGCTGTCCATATTTTCGTAATGCCTCAACACCACGAACCTCCATTGGCAACAACGGCATGTACGTGATATGAAATTCTTCTCGAGGGTATAGCTCGTCGATCTGGTCAAGGTACTTGCGCTGCATGCTTGACCGACTTTTCAAAATGCCTATGATATCCGCTTGTTTCGGTCTCATAAGCTGGTTAACCAATACATTGCGCACGTTAATGTTCATAGTGCACAGCTCCTGCACGAGACGTTCAGTTTCGTATACGGATAAAAATTCAGCAATGGCAACGCAAACGAATGTTGTGATTTCGTCGTCAACAAGAATCTTCGTGACTTCTTCCAGCCCTTTCCGCCCCGACTCGAGCTGGGCTTCTGCTTCGCGAACTTTCGCTTGCATCGTTGGGTCTCCATTTGTCAACATTGATAACATAGGAGTCAGGCTCCTTTTCATCTCATCGATCCGTGCTAAAGCTTTGCTGGCAACCGTGGGAAACTGCAGCAAGCGTAACGTATGGCCCGTCGGGGCTGTATCGAAAACAATAGAATCAAAATCCATGGATTTCGCAAGCTTGGCAATCTGTGAGAAGGACACTGCCTCGTCAATACCAGGCACCGAAGAAAGAAGTTGACGGACGGTTTCTACTGGGAGTAGGTCCGTGGCTCCGCCGTTTGCCGAGAGGCCTTCAGTTGTTTCAGATAGCTTCGTGACGAAATCTTCGGCCGCCTCTGTGGCATTGACTTCCAGAGCATAAAGTCCATTGAACCCCTTTATTTTTGTGGGGTCGGTCCCGCTTGAAATCTTCTGCGAAAATGCATCAGAGAGGTTGTGCGCGGGATCAGTGGAGACCAGCAGTACTTTTTTTCCGTTCTTCTCCAAAGCGGCACCCAGTGAACTGCTTGTTGTTGTCTTTCCGACGCCTCCCTTACCACCCACGAAAATCCACCGCAGTTTTCTGTCGTCGACTAGATTCTTCAGGCTTCCTTCGTATTCCCCTATGTCATTCATTCCTTCAATTCCTTCAGTAAACTCCTTCTTTTCGACCAACATGAGATCCGAATATTCAATCAGACGCTCCTTTCCGCGCACCTCACCAGAGAGCAACGGCATGGCAGTAATGTGAAAGTCCTCGCCATAAAGCTCCACAATTTGTTCCATATATTTTCTTTGCATTGCAAGCCGCGCGTTATACAAGGACTCCGCATCGTCTTTTTCGGCTATATCTTCCGGTCGGATGATTTGGTTGACCACAATATTGTTCACGGATATGCCAAACTTTCCAACTTCTTGGACCAGACGCTCAGTTTCAAAAACACTGAGAAACTCAGGAATGCAAACGCAAACAAACGTGCATTTTGAAGAATCAGCGAACGTAGCCGATACCTCTCTTGTAACCTCTAGCATGGATTCGATATTCGATGCCATTTCTTGTACATCTAGACCTGGTATATTCATTGATGAGGCAAATGTACTTGCCATCGGTCCAAAGCGATCCATTAATCCGCGAAATAGCCCTAACCCTTTCTCTAGTAGACCTGGGAAACCCAACAAACGCATTGTATGACCAGTTGGGGCCGTGTCGAATATTACGACGTCGTACTCCATCTCACGGACGCTTTTCATCAACGTGCCGAAAGCCATCGCTTCGTCTATACCAGGTATTGCGTTACCCACGTCACCAAGCATTGCGGAAGCAGCGTCAGAACCTCCCAGTGCCTGCACAAGCTCACTCGGTGGCTCAGCATTTGCAGGCAAGCCCGGATGAGAGGTTGGTTCTACCTCCATGGCATCAAGATTATCAAAGCCGTTCACACGAGTCGGTTCACCCGTGAACTTTTGTGAAAAGGCATCAGAGAGGTTGTGAGCGGGATCGGTTGACACCAAGAGAACTGAACCTCTTGTCGCAGAGAGGGCTACAGCCAAAGAGCACGATGTTGTCGTCTTTCCGACGCCACCTTTGCCACCAACAAAGATCCATTTCAAAGCATCACTTCGGACAAGGTTTCCCAGAGATCCATCAAGGGCATGCAACATTGTAGCAAGCTGAGTATGTGTGAAGAGCACTAGACTTTCCGAGCAGGTAGTGTGCTGGTAGCAGGGAGGGTTGTTTGCATGATTCTACTGTAGTAATAAAATTAAAAATGCAGAAATCGAAATGCTTCCGGATTAATCTACACCATTCTCCCTTGAGGGCCAAAACAGCACTCCTCAACGTTTTACAGTAAGAACTGCGCTCAGAAAGCTACACGTACCAAGTGTGCGTACAGTACGACCTCCGCCGTGTGCCGACTGGCTGTGCCAGTCGGGGCACGTCACCAGCACTGCTTGAAAGAGCTATGTACGCGTTTAGCAAGTAAAGGGTAAGGTTTACAACTGCGCAGTAGATGGCAAAGTTAGTTCTCATTCTCATGGCCTATTAGAGCATCGCCCGCCACAACATAACTTGCGTACCTAGGCAAACATGCAGGTAGCTTCAATCACTTCCATGACGAAGAGACTGGCATGATTCTTTTCTTTTAGCATGCCCTAATTCTCTTTCATAGTGAGCTGGCTAGATACGTTTGCTCTTTTGTGACAGACAGTACAACAAGTAATAGTTCTGTCTACACTCTCATGTCGTTAGATCGGAGAAAACTCCATCTCTACTTCGCCTTGCTCCTTACCTTTTCGAGTCAACGGCACAGAATCTAATGAGCTTTTATCGGCAAGTAAGGGACACTACAATTATCATACACTGCATCAAAGACAAGATGAATGTAAAGCGTAGAGTTGATGGCTTCCATAATATCTTTTCCATCTTGTAACAAAGAAAGAGATGGATCTCTTCGAAGAGACAGCGACAAACGTGAAAAGTTGAGGTTCTGAGAGGACCTTGTCATTCCAATTAGACTCAAAGCAACATCATCGAATGAATTCTCAAATATCTGTCGCGGTTATCATATAACCGCACCAACGCCATCTCAACAACCGCCACCTCCACATCCACCGCCACCTCCACACCCCCCACCGCCACCTCCACACCCCCCACCACCACCTCCCCCATCTCCACCTCCGCCAGAAAACATCCATCCACCAAAGGCTGAGGAAGCAACATGGCGACTAGTCTTGCGTCCCGCGGGGCTTGCACCAGAAGCAGCACGTTGGGGCTTTGATTCGAAACAACCCATTTCTCACCAAGATGGGTAAAACAGAGTTCTGGGATACTGCAGAGAAGATCACGAAAGTAGTCTGGGAAAGTAAGAAGTGAGCCCCGCAAAATATCAGAGATTAAGTAGGAAAGCCGCAGGCTATTTCTATGCCCGGTATGAGACTAGGGAGACCAATAGGAGCCACTAGCCGGAAGAAGCCGTAAGAGAGGGTAGGAGGCCCTCTCCCTTTTTGTGGGAAGGTGGCAGAAAAGTGGAGACGGCTCGCACAGAAGGCGCCGTGAGACTCATCCTTCAATCTTGCAGAATTTTAAGGAATGTAGTTTTCATGCTCTCATCATGGTGATTTGTGCCAGACATGACCTATCACGTGCTCAGGCTAAAAAGAATGGGCTTGGGGTCAGAAAAGATAGGCATGTACCTTTCGAAAGGTATGTGGGGAGGCGTGCGAGTTCAAGCAAATCTGCATTATTAGTGAGAAAGTTGAATGCGGGCGGAGCGAGAGAGAACCCCACCGCCCAAAGCGCCCTGGCACGACACAGTGGAGCGCTAGACGTCCAATCTCAAAAGTGTCTCGTTGGGAAAGGCGAAATATGTTCATGATGTCAACTAGTTATCATACCGTACGCCATCGACATTGTTGCCCCTCTTTAATTGGTTGCTACTGACTACAGCTCCACGTCGCTCTTGTTGCCACAAGTTGGCAGCCTTGGAAGCCGATACCCTTGGGTAGATGCTGTCATCCTATTTCGCACAGCATGGGCATACGGTTACAGTACTGCCTTTCCCTGGGTTCCCAAACAAACATCGAAACACCTCGAGCACAGCACCTCTACATCAGACAGCCACAGTACTACCATTCTCGCGGATACTCAAATGTCCACTACGTACGGTATGTCCCTGTTTCACTCACGCACCCCGACATGTACAGTATTGGAAAGGAATTACAAGCTCCACTCGCATTCCAGGATAACTCTAATATTCCACTGTTGTTAACAAACAGAACGGTTTATTCTTGCGTCATCTGAAATTGTTGCTCTCAGACAGCAATGTCGCACTTGGGAGACTCTGCAATGAAAACAGCCCTGGTTCCCGAGACTCGCAGGAGGCATTCTTACACAATTTTCTGCAACCTTATGCTGCCCGCTCTCTCTAGCTTCTATATTCCACGGCGCAATGAACAATTCGGCTTGTCACCCTTCATTTGCTTTCCCTCTTCTGTACGTGAGAGGTCTATGCAATGCTTTAGCTGGCCTCGAAGTACAACACCTGTGTTGCCCATGAACCAGAAATACTGTATTCTCGCATGCACATAAACCTGAGACACCAATACATTCCTGAAGAGTGTCAAGACTGCGGGCGTAGCTGTATACAGTGAACCCTCCCGATAAGGATCATTCTCCATATGGATATCCTCCGTAAACGGATAAAAAGTCGAGCGACGGACTCCGTAGCTTACAAATTTTTACCAAAAAACAATGTCTGTGGAATATTCCTCAATTGGATATCGGGTTCAATGTGAAATAAGCATATCATACAGACCCCTCCTACTTAAAACGTATTTTATGGTTACTTTTGAGCGGCCAAGGCACAAATTACCCCATAACCGTTCATTCTTGATCAATCCGTTCACAATCTGCTCAATAAATTCCAATCCCCGTCTGAGGCTTCGCAATTATCATCATTCTCGACAAAAACATCTTTCTAGCATATACTCCTGTTGGTCCTCCCCCAATAAATCTCCTCTGATCGCAAACATTGCGTGTTGTCAGCACCGTAGCCATCTGCCCCCGTCAAGCGACAATCGTCGATGAAGCGCTCTGAGCTTAACCTCGCCCAAAAGCAACAAATATGTGCAGAGTTCCAACGGCGCAAAAAGAGCAAGGAGCAGACGTCACAAAGCGCCCTTGCGAGGTGGGCCTCAGTACAGTTTTCCCTTTCTAAACCTCCTGCTCAAGCTGTCATGTCCCGCATCATCAACGGAAAGTATGGTTTTCGTCCCGATATCTCTACAAAAAAGTTCAAGCGCTCCGCGTCAGTTACCAGCCCATATCTCGAACGCGCAGTCGCAACTTGGGTCTCTGCCCAATTTGCAAATAGGGTAAACATCACAGGTCATCTTATAACTACGCAAGCAGAGCGCATTCAATACATTTAGATACATTTTTTAAGTAAAGCACAGACATTCTGAGAGATGCACCGTGACACCGTTATGATACGGTCTCCGGATGTGAATATCCTCCGCAAATGGATACGGATTACGTCCACCGAGCGTATCCATATCGAGAGGGTTCACTGTAATTCACTATAGATCTAGTTTTGATGACTGTAATGGCACACACACTCACCTTTAATGTCTTGAGAGGGTGCTCTCGTCGGCTGCGTCTTTGCCTGCAGGATGCCATTCATAACTAGAGATTCCCAGTAACAGAATACCGCAATCTGGGCTATCCGTCTTTTCACGTGAGTGCACCATTAGGTACTGTACTTCATGTGGTTTGGGTGCTGAATCTTGGTGACACCATAGTGCAGGTGGTCAGTTCTTGCAGCAGCATCAACAAGATAAAAAAACGCAAGAACTGAAACGTTCCATTGTCAAGAATTTTGGAGGACGCTTAAAGTGCATTGCCCTCATTCACGGAGATCAGGAAGCTCGATCCCAATATGCTTTCACACGACTTGTATGACCGAAGGCTGCTCCACACTCGCAACCCCTACCATTTTTCTGAGCCCCTGCTATAACGGGCCTGTAATTCTGTTCCGAACGACCCTGCTTTCATGAACTGCACGTATGCCGCTCCTGGTACAGTAATGTCATACCTATACTCTATCTGTGAAATCAGTGCCCTTGTATGACGGCTAGTACTAGATCTTGTGCTAGATCCGGACGGCGTGTGGGTTTCGGCGCAACCGCTCTCCGCCTCCTCTCGACCACTTTTTACCTTCCACAGCTTAGTCGACCAGAGTTCAGACTGCCCGCAAACGCCGGGCCTCTGTAATCAACCAGGGCAGACATCTTCTACGGGGTAAAGATTGTCAGAACTTGCTGTCGCCCCTGTCGGACCCAGGCTTTCTTCTAGAACGAAAAAGCCGCTCTGTGCCTTGTAGTGCTTCCGCTGCCCCCCGCACTTGTGTCAAATGCTCTCGGATCTTTGCTTGCCGCAAACCTGACTTGGGCAAATTGGCCTAACCTTCTTCAGGTTTCTTGATGGTCTTTTCAATGCTTATGTCAGCCGTTTAATTTGTGTTATGAAGAGCACCAAGTGCTAACTTTGAGAAATAGCCACGAATGACACCAGTCGAAGCACGGAGAGAGTGATCCTACGGAACAAAAGCCGGCTTCGAAGGACGCTAACCGCACTGTTTGCCGAACTGGTCGGACTCCATGGGTAAATGCATTCGGCCCGTCCGCAGTTAAGACATAGTTCTGGCACAATTCGTGAGCACACTTAGTCAACACACTTAGTCAACACACTTAGTCAACACATTTAGTCAACACGCTTTGTCAACGAGCCCCCAGAGCCACCCTCTGATCTTGATCTGTCATTCAGTATCGGGGAACTGCACTGTAGTGTACAGTACGTCTTATACAGGGTGCTCGGCCCAGGACGGAATTATGGTGAACGGGGGGAGTCCTTTACTGCACTAATTTTTTTTGGAGAAATGGCGCTGTTGTACAAAACTGCTGTTTTTTTAGTGGTTTTTCACAATCATTCCATTTTATTCAACGCCAACCCTCTGGATATGTCCACCAAAATCTGACGGCGTCTCCCTGAAGCGCTCCGCACAACCTCCCTGCATTCAAGACGAAGACGCCAAGCCGGTCACTTGGTTTCTGAAGCATTCAAATATCTTCTCTGCGGGTACGCAGCCGTTTACACGTTTCTTGCGAAGATTGGTAACGATAAGCTTTCCTTCCCAGGGCCTTCTTAAGGCTATCATTCGTGCGATTGTATGTTCTTCAAATGCAGCTTGTACACAATAATGGGGACATCCCAGATGTCACAACATTGAGAGCATCAATCCCTGTACCGCTTCCCTTCGACATGAATCCATCTGCGGCAGTGGATGCGCTGAAGGCCAAGTCCCACCTACATCGGGAACGCAACCTGCTCCAGTTTCGAAACCAGTTAGCTAATTGGAATGCAACTGAACTGAACCAAGTCAAGTCGCATCTCTTGTCCTCTCTGGTCGCTCCCGAGCAGGCATGGGAGTTGCCCTATGGGATTCTGGGAGGGTGCACGCTAGTGGTCGAACAAAGCAAGAGCAAAGACCATGAGTTTACTGAAAGCTTGCTCAAGTCCATCCCTCGTTTTGTCTCTCATTCCGAAGCTCGCGTACGTGCTGCATCTTCCTCACTCATCCGGGCGCTCTCCGCGAAAATGGGCCTCGTTGTCTGGAATGTTTTAGGTGATCGCCTGCTAGCAAACGTTGCCATGAACATCCAGCTGGACGAAGATCAAAGACTGCAAGAGGCGGCCCGACTCGCAGGCCGCGATCTCGACGATAATGCCGCCAATGCAAAGCTCCACGGCCTGCGCATGGTTCACGAGACGGAGGGGTGGCGCGGACTGGAAACCTCAATGCTCGCTCTTGCTGACCTTGTCGACGGCTGTGGTGGTTACATTTTAGCCCCTGCTGCTGGGGAGCGGGGACTCGAACAAGTTAACGGACTCATTCCGCTTTTCGATTCCATACAAAAGGGAAAGGATCACCCGAATCGTTTTGTTCGCGAGGCCGGGCTCAAACTTCTCACCAGCACGTCACGTGCGACCGGTAATGAGGGCATGAGGACTAAAGAAGATGGAAGCAGGGTCTTAGCTCTAATTGTTGCATTGTGTAAGCCAGTCATTCTGGAGGGGCTACAGGACAACTGGAGCCAGGTGCGATTTGCTGCCACGAAGGCTGTCCGAGCGATTCTGGAGGGTTTTCCCCTTGAACAGCGTCGCAGTCTATACACTGGGCTGCTTCCTCGTATGTGCCTGAACCGCCACTATGTTGCTGAAGGCGTCCGCAACCTCAGCCAGGACACCTGGCGCGAGGTCATCGGTTCTGACGGGAAAGCGTATTTGTCCTTGCATCTGGACGAAACAGTCGCATACTACGAGACGCAATGTGAAGCAGACAATCACGCCGTGCGAGAGGCTGCCGCTCAGAGTCTGGGCGAGCTTTGCGCGAAATTGGAGCGGGGTACCGTAGAGCCTTTCGTCGTGCGCGTTATGAACGCTTTGATCGGATGTTTCAAAGACGAGTCTTGGCCTGTGCGTGATCACGCGTGCCGGGCGCTAGGCGATGTTGTTTCGATGTTCCCAGACGCGGCCGAGAAGAGTGGAAAGCTTGACGACGTGCGCAAACTTTTCGAACAACATCTCGCGGACAATATCGGCTCCGTGAGGGCCAACTGCGCGGAGACGTACGCACAAGTCTGCAAGGCGTTCGAGCCGGACCATGCGCTTTTCGGGTGCAAACGAGCATTAGGGATTGCATCGGATCTAATGGCGAGATTGCGATCTCAACCGGAGCAATTGTTCGGTTCTCACGAGGATAGCCTGGCGCGCGATCGGGATACCAAGTACGGTGCGGCGAGCAAACTGGCACGTGACAACGACGCCTCGCTGCATACGGACCAGATAACATACAGTTGCGGAAGCCTGGCACCGAAGTTAAGACGTGGAGGTGGCTGTATGGACCATGGATTTGCACGAGAGAAGCGGCCTTGGGAAGAGGCGGATGGCGGAATGAGACTATGGAGTAGACTTGCAAGGGATGTGGCAGAGAATGCATGGGATGCGGGACTTGTAGATGAAGTGTTGGAATTGGGAGCCTTCGGGATGGAGTTGCAGTTTGCACAAGAGACGAAGGTTAGGCAGGGGTGGTTCGAGTGCTTTGGAGAGGCGGTAACCGGTTTAAAGCGCGGGGAATTGAGCAAAGAACTTATCGCTAGGGTTGTGAGGATAGTTGAGAGGGGCAGGGAGATGGAGAATGAGCGGGTTAGTGCGGCAGCTGCGGGATGTGCAAGGGCTGTGCGTCGGGTATGTGGACTTCGAATGTATGCAGAGATTGAAAGAGAGGTTTCACACAAGACTTAGCCCCTCCGTCTGCAACCTTGAGATGAGCGACAATGCTTTGCTGTCCAATGCACGTAGGAGCCGGACAAAATGGGTATTGACATTGGCAAGGTAAGCTGAGTCCTGTTGATGATGTATGTGTCGCAGTTGTACACTTGCGTGTAAATAGGGGGCCTTCTAAATTCAGAAAGGCATTGTACTTCGGATTGTGCCTTGGCAAGTACGTCATGTCTTTCTCTTAGACCCAAGCAATCGCGATCTTGACATGACAAGGTAATAGCAGGTAGTAGCGACCGAGATAATGGGCATGCTTGATTCGTGAAGAACTTGAATGTCGAAGCACGAAACGAAACATATTTGGCTGCCGGTAATGAAAGCTAAAAAGTACCTTGAGTCCCTAGCTGGCAGCGTCGGCTATTTTCCCTTCAATGGCGTTTCGGCCTCACTTCAAAAAGAACTGGCCGTGGTATCATATCAGTTCCCGTTCACGTCTTGCGAAACCACATCTTCATGCTATAGTCGAACGTGCCTTTCTTCATGAAAAGCTAGGTAGGCCTGAATTCCAGAAAGAAATTCTCTTGGCGCATCATTTCGAGACGAAAAAGGGGTTGAATTGATGTTCGTTGAATTGATGTGCTCTTGCATCGGATTTAAACTCATCGATCCTTTCGAGTGCACATCAAAGATAGATCTACCGTATAGTACGTAGCGTAACGATTTTTGTGAAGTGAAAGTTTTGCAGGGTCGAGCAGATTGTGACTCCAATGTCGTTGCTGCGATATCGGGATAAGTATTCGGTATAAGTTTTACGGGAATTGAGAAAGATGTTTTGAATGATGAAATGCAAGCAGACTTGACATTCTCGACAGCACAACGGTTATTTACACATTCAATTCATATGTGACGTCTCCTCTGAAGCGGAGGTCCTCGTGGTCCTGGAAGGCAGGAAATCCAGAGCAACTTGTGTCACACGCTCTCCGATGTTTCGGACAACTACTACAGTCCTGAGAACCTCAGTTCAGTGCTTGAAGCTACTAGGCGTTGGCCGCTGTGGTCTGTGATACTGTGCCATGCATGCGAAAGAAGTATGGATTCGATTCCGGCAACGGTGTTTTGAAGTCGTTAGTTCTCAGAAATGGAAAGCGAGTTTTTCTGGACATAATTCACAAACAACAAATTCTTCCGCATCTCGGCGCACTGTCATCTTACAACTATTGCCGCAGGCTTGCTGGAGATTCTGCGAGATATTATGTTGTGCTTGAAGTTCCACGCTCTTTTTCTATACTGTTGTAGAGTGAATGTTTTTCCCTTCGGCGTATCCGTGCTCTCGGGTCAGTCAATGAGAGTGGCCTTTTCTTCATTTCCTACGACTTGAAGTCCATGATCTGGACCGCGCTCTGCATGCCATCCAGAAGAAGTCTTGAACGGCGTGACTGCCCACGTAGCAAAAAGAATATGTCGAGGCACTGGCCAGGATATGATTGCGTTGCTGGCCAGTCTAGTCTCGTATGATTTTGTAGTATATTCCTCATCTAGAGCGCATGCCAGGACAAGATCGCCTTGCAGACCAGTATGGTGTGGCCAGCGCGGCCTCGCATTATGTTTGTCGTATTCCTGATCTAGAACGCTAGAATGCATGCCAGGACAAGGTGAGAGACTTGCACGTTGAGCAGGGTCTGGGTAATGGTACAGTAGTCGTTTTATCGTAGTCATGTTGTCGCATTCCTCAGCTGAAGAAGCACAACAGGACAAGATGCCAGGCGGGCTGGTGTCGCTGGTGTCGCAGGTGTCGCAGTCATTTGTTCGCATTTCGCCCCTGGAACATCTCCGGTTGGAGAGGTGATGAGAGTGGATAAGGTAGTCCTCTGCGACGTGCACAGGACACAACATTGGACATGACATCGATATGTGTTTTCATGTGCAAGAATGCCGTTGGGGAGAATTGCGTCTTGAAGCTCCTAATCGATTAATCGATTAATGAAGTGTTTAGGTTGCAAGGAAATAAAGCTTTAATCATGGCGGTTAAAGGTGATGTTGAACAATTAAGTAGCCGTCAAGGGTGTACATGGGGCCTGGGCTCTGTTTCGCGAAGTTTTGTAATCTACAGCAAAACGATTTTCAGCTGGGCTTAGACGCCGAAGCGGGGCCGCCCAACTGGGCGACTACGGAAGCAGGCGCTCGACAAACCGGAGAACGTAGATGATTGCGCATGACCGTGACATTCTGGCTCTTTGTTATATGTGAACAGTAATTGCACACGTTTGCGAGAAATTTTCCACCTGGGGCAACATTTCGGGTGAAGGAGAGAGGTGCTACAGACTTTCTCCTGCCGCGACGAGGGTGAGCGGTTTTAGTCGACTTGGGCGGGACCGGGGGCATGGGCGGTTTAGACGCATGGGTAGATGCAGTATCAGGGGCAGTTGCAGAAAGCGTGCCGGTTTGATTGTGTTGTGGTGTAGAGGGACTTGAAGCGGGTTGATGTGGTGGAGGCAGTGGTTGCTGAGGTGGTGTGGTTGTGGATGTGATGGCGAGCGTGTTTGGTCGGAGGTGCGGGTGAGAGGGGCGGGCTTCTCCGGTGTGCTTGGTACTTGTCAAGGCAGGATTGGGGAGAGTAGGCGGCTGCTCGTGCTGGGAGAAGGAAGAAAGGGCGGGCGTTTCTGTGCGTAAATCGGCGGGTGCTGCAGTATTGGTATTGGTGTGAGCGTGCGTTGTTGTTGGCGGTGGTTGTGGGTGGGGGTGTACGTGCTGTGGCTGAGTATGGAAAGAAGGAAGAGGTGAGACGACGGTTTGTTGTTGATGAGGGGTGGGTGTGTTGTAATGGTGTTGAGCGGCAGCGGGTGGAAGCAGTGTGAGCTTGACGGATTGTGGGGCGGCACCGCATGCTTGGAGGATGTGTCTCTTGAGATAGGTTGCGTTCTGTGAGGCATCGACGGAATTGAACGAGCAGAAGTTGCATTCATTCTTGAGGAAACGGCCGCGCGAGTCGAGATGGCGGGTGAAGCACTGGAAAACGGGGGATCGGGGTCGGCCGCGGCCCCTCTTCGGAGGAGGTTTTGGGACGCGGATGGGGATGGGCAGGGAGGCGGCGAGAGTGTTTCGAG